GGCTGAACAACCCCAGCTCCCTCAGCCTGTCCTCATAGCAGAGGTGCTCCATCCCCCTGACCATCCTTGTGGCCCTCCTCTGGACCCTCTCCATCAGGTCCATGTCCTTCTTATATTGAGGGCTCCAGACCTGCACACAATACTCCAGGTGAGGTCTCACCAGAGCAGATCAAAGTGGCAGAATCACCTCTCTAAAACCCCAGGAATGTGTTGGGAGGACCCCAATTCCCAGCAGACTCCCTTCCTTGGAGATTTTCAAGACCCGCCTGGATTCCAGACCTGCACACAATACTCCAGGTGAGGTCTCACCAGAGCAGAGTAAAGTGGCAGAATCACCTCTTTAAAACCCCAGGAATGTGTTGGGAGGACCCCGATTCCCAGCAGATCCCGGGGAAACCATGTGTCCTCCTGTGCTGCATCTCCTGTCCTCGTGCCGGTGCTGCCCCCACTGCCGAGCCCACTCTGGCACATGCCATAGAGGGAGATCCTCACCTCCTCCCCGCATCCCACAGCGGCCAGTTTGCCATCGTACGGAAATGCCGGGAGAGGAAAACGGGTCTGGAATACGCAGCCAAATTCATCAAGAAGCGCCGACTGTCGTCCAGCCGCCGGGGCGTGAGCCGGGAGGAGATCGAGAGGGAGGTGGACATCCTGAGGGAGATCCAGCACCCCAACATCATCACCCTGCACGACATCTTCGAGAACAAGACGGACGTGGTGCTGATCCTGGAGCTGGTCTCGGGTGGCGAGCTCTTTGATTTCCTGGCCGAGAAGGAGTCCCTGACGGAGGAGGAGGCCACCCAGTTCCTCAAGCAGATCCTGGACGGGGTGCACTACCTGCACTCCAAGCGCATCGCCCACTTCGACTTGAAGGTGAGGTCTGGGAGGTGCAAACCTCCCCATGCTTGGCAGCTGGGGAGCGGGGACGAGCATCCAGGCCTGTGGGGAGCAGAGGGGATGGCTCTGGGATCTCTCCCTGCTTGAGGTGTGTGTCCTGTCCTCCAGGGAGAGGAGCATGGGGCTCCCACGGGCAAGCGTGGCGGGGTGAACAGCGGTTCCTCTCCCCCTGCAGCCGGAGAACATCATGCTGCTGGACAAGAACGTGCCAAACCCTCGCATCAAACTCATCGACTTCGGGATCGCCCACAAGATCGAAGCTGGGAATGAATTCAAGAATATATTTGGGACGCCGGAGTTTGTAGGTGAGGCCTGGCTTGGCAGTGTTCTGGGGGGGCTCCTTGGGGCTCTGAGAGCTTTGGCTTAATTCCGGGGAGATGCCCTCAGCCCTGGCCTGATGTAGCCAGGGGGACAGGCTTCTTTCCCCCAAATAAGCATATTTTCTCCCCTCTTTCCTTCTAAAGCCCCAGAAATCGTGAACTACGAGCCCCTGGGGCTGGAGGCTGACATGTGGTGAGTGAGTCCCCTCCCAAGCACCTTCCAGTGGCACCAGTGGTCCCCAGGAGGGGGCTCCTGGTGGTGGATGTCCCCTCTTGCTGAAAGTGCAAGGAGAGAGGACCGACGGCGCTTTGCGGGGCTTCAGCCTCATCTTCCTCTCTCTTCCAGGAGCATCGGGGTCATCACTTACATCCTGTGAGTATATGGGGAGCCTGGGGGAGTCGGGTGCTGCAGGGTGAGTCCCCCACCCTGGGCTGTCACCTTTTTTGGGGTGTCACAACCCGCTCTCGCCTCAGGTTGAGCGGAGCCTCCCCTTTCCTGGGGGAGACAAAGCAAGAGACCCTGACCAACATCTCTGCTGTCAACTACGACTTCGACGAGGAGTATTTCAGCAACACCAGTGAGCTGGCCAAGGACTTCATCCGCCGCCTGCTTGTCAAGGACCCCAAGTGAGACACAGGGAGCAGAACTGGGGGGAGGGAGAGGGGATGGTCCCTCCTGCCCAACCCTCTGCAGCAGCCACATCTCCTGCCCACGCTGGGGTTTAGCTCCAAGCCTGCCCACTGCCATCCCAGCCCTGTTGTCCTGGTTGTTTTTAAATCCCATTTATCCCCCCATTTCCCTCCTGAGTCTTGTAGGATTTGGTGTGGGAAAACATCTGGAAACCAAAGTCTCTCCCTGGCATTAGACACGGGGTGAATTCTGGGGTCACCCTGAGGGTGCAGCAGCTTGGCTGAGGAGGACAGAGTGGGGTTTGGAAGGGATGAAGGGCTGCCCTGAGCCCCCCAGGACTCTGGTCTGGGGAGGGAGTTATGGTGCTGTGTGATCCCATATTGGTTGGGAGGTTCCTGCAGGCTCTTCTGTGGGTGTTTGCTCTTGGGGGTCAGGCTGAGGGTGTGGGGGCTGGATGCAGGCCCTGCCTGGGGTGGCCTCTGAGTACTGTGAGTTTGGGCTTATCCATACCCAAAAGATGACAGGATCTGAGCTGCTTTTCCAGGAATTTATCAGGGAAAGAGGCAGCAAAGCTTCCGCCCCTCAGTTGCAGCCTTTCTGTCATTGCAGGAAGCGGATGACCATCGCTCAAAGCCTGGAACACCCTTGGATTAAGGTGAGTAGTTAAAGAATTAGCACTTTTTGGGTGTCAAAAGTCCCAGAGGTTGAGGGTGGGTGTTGGAGCTCCACCGCTCTTCCAGCCCTGGGTTGGGGCCAGTTTGGTGCCAGTGGTGACCACGATGCCAGGGACCATGGGGTGGGTGCTGAAGCTGTTGGGCTCCCATTGTCCTGGCTGTGCCCCACGCCTGAGGCTGTCCCTCTCTGCAGGTGATCAAGAGGAGGAACGTCCGCAACGAGGACAACAGCAAGAAGCCCGAGCGCCGCCGCCTGAAGACCACGCGCCTGAAGGAGTACACCATCAAGTCCCACTCCAGCATGCCACCAAACAACACCTACATCAACTTCGAGCGCTTCTCCAAGGTCATGGAGGAGGTGGCCGCAGCTGAGGAGAGCCTCCGAGAGCTGGAGAGGAACAAGAAGTCCTTCCAGGAGGACATCGAGGCCCTTCTGTCCATCTATGAGGAGAAGGAGTCGTGGTACAAGGAGGAGAATGAGAGCATCAGCCAGGACCTCCGCCAGATCCGCCAGGAGCTGCAGAAGACAGAGGCCCTGAAGAAGCAGGCGCAGGAGGAGACCAAGAGCATGGTGCAGGTGGCCAACGGCCTCAAGAGGCGTTACCGAAAGCTGGAGAACCACTACGAGGCCTTGGCCAAGCAGGTGGCCTCGGAGATGAAGTTTGTCCAGGAGCTGGTGTGGTCCATTGAGCGGGAGAAGCTGCAGAGCGGGGAGGGAGACGGCAGCATCCGCTAAACTCGGGGGTCATCTGCCCTTGGGCTGAGCTTGGGGGGTCCTTCCCAACTGCCCCACAGTGACCCGGAGCCCTGAAGGGACGCTCAGCCGGTGCCGGGGTCTTCTGCCCTTGGGCTGAGCTTGGGGGGTCCTTCCCAACTGCCCCACAGTGACCCGGAGCCCTGAAGGGACCTTGGTGGCTCTGCCCCTTGCTCTCCCAAGGAGCTGCTCCACTGACACCCTTCGGTGAGTGTCCCCAGGCGCTGCTGGCCTTGCGGTGGGATGTGGGGGGGCTTGTGCCTCCCTGGAGACCTTCCCTCGGGGGGGCCTGAGTTGTGCCCACCTGGGTTGTGGCTTCTTGCCTGCGGCTCTTGCTTGCCTTGCCGTCTGCGTGCTCCCCGTGGCTCCCTCTGTCCCCTCCCTCCTTGCCGCAGGGCTCTGGGACCAGTTGTCCCCTCTCTGTCCCACCCAGGGCCTGGGTCTCGGAGCGCCCTGCCCTGGGGGGGGTCTTGGTGGGGGAGACCCCTCCTCTAAACCCTCGCAGCTGCTCAGTGTCCGCCACACGCGAGCTGTGACCAAGGGGTGATTCCTGCATGGCCCGTCACGCCGTGGGTGGCCTGTGGGTGGCCCATGGGTGGCCCTGGCTGTCCCCTCCTCACCCCGGGCCATCACACCCCCCTGCTCCTCACCCCAGCCCTTGGTCCCACCAGGAACTCCCTCTTTTAACAAAATAAAGGTTTCCGTGCAGCGGGGTGGCTGCCTTGGCTCCTTCCGTGGGGGGTCAGGTGGCGTGGGTGGCCTATGGGTGGCCCCGGCTGTCCCCCCCTCACCCCGGGCCATCACACCCCCCTGCTCCTCACCCCAGCCCTTGGTCCCACCAGGAACTCCCTCTTTTAACAAAATAAAGGTTTCCGTGCAGCGGGGTGGCTGCCTTGGCTCCTTCCGTGGGGGGTCAGGTGGTGGGAAGGGGACAGGGACGTGCCGTGGGGTGACAGCTCCTCTGCTGCGCCCCCAAATGGTGTTTATGCTCCCATCCCGGAGGGATTTCCTTGATTTGGGAGGGGAAAGGCACTTTATTTTTGCCTTTTTAGCCCCAATGCTGGTGGGCGAGCTCCTTGCGGGCTTGGAGGGGGCTCTGGGGGTGGGTTGTGGGGTGCTCCCAGGCTGGGGGAGCCCCCAGCCCCTCTTGCTTCAAACTCTGGGGGAGGTCTGGGGGGCCAAGGGATGTTTTGGGGAATTGGGGAAGGTCTGTGGGGTTTGGGGAGGTCCCTGGGGCTCAGGGAGAGTTCCAGGGTTTCTCTGGGGTCCCTACCCTTTTCCCCAGGGATTTCCTTTTTTTCAGAGGACCAGCCAGATCCCGTTTTCCATGGGAACAGAGTGGACAAGGGACAAACCCCAATATTATCGGGGTCAGGAAGGGTTGATGGGCTCTGCCATCACTGGCAAGTGCAGGAGAGCGGCTGGTGGCCAGGGCTGGGGGGGGCCAGCACGGGCTGCCCCCCCTCCCCTCCCTCCTACCCTCCTGGGGATGGGGACAGGGAGGGGACAAGGTCCCAATTGGCTGTTTTCTGCAGAGAATCCAGGAGTGGGTTTCCTCCAGGAGCACCCAGGAGTTCCCGGCTGCCCGTGGCCCCGTGGTGAACGGAGCCAAGATCCGGCTGAATTTGATCTGGGGGGGAATCACCCCCCAAATCTCTACAACTCCCTGAAAGGAGGGTGTAGAGAGATGGGGGTCGGTCTCTTTTCTCAAGTCACAGGCGACAGGACAAGAGGAAATGGCCTCAAGTTACTCCAGGGGAGGTTCAGGCTGGATATTAGGAAAAATTTTTTCACGGAAAGGGTTCTCAGCCCTTGGAATGGGCTGCCCAGGGAGGGGGTTGAGGCCCCATCCCTGGAGGTGTTCAAAAGAGGGGTTGATGTAGTGCTGGGAGGTCTGGTTTAGTGATGATGCTCCTTGTTTGTTGTGTGGGTGTCTATTTTTGTCAGTGAGGTTGACGGTTGGACAAGATGATCTTTAAGGTCCCTTCCAACCTAGAAGATTCTGTGAAATCCCAGTGGATGGCAAGTGTCCCTCTGCCTTTCCAGCCCCCCCTGACGTCCCCCCAGGTGTAGGTTTCATCCCAACCCGGGGGGGCACGTGGGGCACAGAGATATTTTTAGCCTGCCCCATTTTTTCAGGCCGAGGTGCTTGGCATCCAGGGGGTGACCGCAGCGTCCCGGGATTCCCAGGGGGCTGGAGAGGGGTGGTCTGGCCACGCTGGGGGACACCACGGCCTGGCTGGGGGGGGGCTTAGGGACATCCTTCCCCCAGGTCCTGTGTCCTCAGGGCTGGGGGCTTTGGGGTGTGGATTCAGCCAAAGTCCTGGGTGTTTGATCCGCTCTCGCTGAGTGGATTTGTCACCGGAGCCAGTGTGTGAAGGGATGTATGGAAATCCTATAGCAGGGGTTGTTCACGGGCTGGGCAAAGTTCAGATAGTGTGAGAGATGCTCCTCACACCGCGGGGTTTTCTGTTTCAAGGCTCTTGGAAGTCGGTGGGGATTGAGCCTGGCCAACAGGGCCACCTCCTCCCCGGGCACGCGGCTCCGGACAGGTCGGTAGCAGGAGATTCTCGTCCCAATAATGCCAAAAGAAAACACCGAAATTTAGTCATAGAATCATAGAATCACAGAATGGTTTGGGTTGGAAGGGACCTCAAAGATCATCTAGTTCCAACCCCTCTGCCCTGGGCAGGGACACCTCCCACCAGAGCAGGTTGCTCAAGGCCCCATCCAGCCTGGCCTTGAACCCCTCCAGGGATGGGGCAGCCACAGCTTCTCTGGGCAACCTGTTCCAGTGTCTCACCACCCTCAGAGTAAAAAATTTCTTCCTGAGATCTAATCTGAATCTTTTTTCTTCCAATTTAAAACCGTTTCCCCTTGTCCTATCATTACCCTTCCTGGCAAAGAGTCCTTCTCCAGCTCTTCTATAGGCACCCTTCAGGTATTGAAAGGCCGCTATAAGGTCTCCCCAGAGCCTTCTCTTCTCCAGGCTGAACAATCCCAGCTCCCTCAGCCTGTCTTCATAGGAGAGGTGCTCCATCCCTCTGAGCATCTTCGTGGCAGAATTCTGCTTTTCAAAAGCAGAATTTGGGGTGGTGTTTATTACTGCCACGCTTGGGGTGACCTGTTGGAGTGTGTTTCAGGTTGCCAGGCGCTGGCACGAGTCCCGCAGCTGCACAATTGGCTGTGTACAGCTGCAAAGAAAGGGGAAAACACCTACAGCCCCCCCCGAGGAGGGTGATTTATGGGGGAGAAAGGGTCCCAGAGGTAGATGCTGGAGGAACTGGGCTCATACCAGGAGCTGGGGGGGGGTGCTTGGAGCCCAGGGGCTGTGCTGGTCCCTGGGGGATTTCACGATGTGACGTCCCGGGGGTGTCCTCCCTTGGGTCCCCTCTGTGCCACCGGAGGTGACGCCGCCCCGGGGGGGTTTATATTCTCTGTGGGCAGAGCAGAGAGCGACTAAATCCCTTTTTTAGGCTTTGATTTTTCTCTTCCTGGAGGCCGGCTCGAAGCAAACGCTGTGGCTTTTCCCTTCTATGTCTTCGTGGAAGCCAGATGATTCTGTTCACCTTATCAGCTGAGGGATGAACCTCTCCCTGAAGGTGGGGAAGCCCTGGCTGGCTGAGCCTGCCCTGGTTTTTTTCCCCGTTATCCAGCCGAGCTGTGGCTTAATCTGGGGGAAACGCTCCATATAACGATGTCAAATGGATGCACGAGGTGTCAGGGACAATCACAGCACACTGTCACCGGCCCCGGTGCTCCTCTGCCACTCTAATGCTGTAATTATGGTGGTGTCTGTCCCTCCAGGCACACAGGGGGTTGCACCCAAGGAAATCTATGCCTTTTTACAGCTTGGGGAAGTGTGGGTGATGCCATCAGCACCCATGCCTTGTTTCTGGCTGCAGCGTCCCCATTCCGGCCAGACAATCGGAAAAACATCGGCGCAGCACGAGGCCGGAGCGGTGGATCAGGCTTCCCTCCTGGCTGCTCCAAAAACCCCTTGAAAGAGGCCAGGGTGGGTTTTTTTGGGGCGACTTCTTGCTAATCTGTGGCAGCTGCTTTTCGGGAGCAAGGTTTCTAATGAAGGCAGGCCCCAAAAATCTACTGAAGTGAGCTGGGCTGGCAGGGGGGCCAAGTTATTTTGGTGCCCCAGAGATGACCACGCTCTTTTTCCATGTGAGGGGTTTTGAACTTTCAGATGGTGAACCCTCCCTGTGTGGTGTCCACATGTGCTTCGGCGCATCACTTTAATGGCACCTCCTACCTTTAGCTGGGGTATTTCCATGGGGGGTGACAGATCCCACCCCGCTCACCCAACTCACCACCGCTCCGCAGCTCAATTAGCTACTGGGCACAGAACACCTGGAGAGGTTATAATTAGCCTGGAGCTACCACGGGGCAAGGACAATGTGGCGACCAGGTGGTCATTGTGTGTGCAGAGCTACAGGCCTGAGCCCCACTGTTGGAGAAGAAGGTCCTCGAATGCCTCCAGAGGACGGCAACTGAGCTGGTGACAGAGCTGGAAGATGTCCCAGAATCATGGACTGGTTTGGGTTGGAAGGGACCTTCAAGCCCACCCAGTTGCACCCCCTGCCCTGGGCAGGGACACCTCCCACCACACCACGTTGCTCCAAGCCCCCTCCAACCTGGTCTTGAAGCCCTCCAGGGATGGGGCAGCCCCAGCTTCTCTGGCCAACCTGGGCCAGGCTCTCACCACCCTCACAGCCAAGAACTTCTTCCCTACATCTCACCTCCGTCTCCCCTCTTGCAGGGTCAAACCCTTCCCCCTCCTCCTATCCCTCCCCTCCCTGATGACCCAACATCAGGCAATGTTTCTTTCCCAAGGGGATGGTCAAGCCCTGGAAGAGGCGTCCTGGGCTGGTGGTTGATGCCCCAAGTGTCTCCTTGTTTGAGAGGCGTTTGGACAATGCCCTGAAGAATGTCCTTCTTGGGTGATTTGGGGGGGATTTTTGTGGGGTCGGGAGGCGAAGCCGGGCTGAGGAGCCCATGGCGGTGGGAGCCGAGGACGGGTGGGATTGTGCCCAGGGTTTTGGGGGCT